TTTTATCTTCGCATTAATAACTTTCTTTGGCAAATATTTTCTTCTTATGTTTAAAGTTCCACATAGAAAAGTTTTTTGTGATAGGAGTTTTTCTGCCAGACTCAACGAAGTATAGAAATTATCTACTATTACGATTCTTCCCTCTTCTATCAAATTGTTCATCAATTTTAATACTACTTTCTGACTGTGATCGACTTCTCGCTTCTGATCTTTTTTACCTGTATAAATCTCTATCTGGTAGGTATAACCTTCGGGGGTGCAAAGTTTGTACAGCTTAACGCCATATCGGTGAGATTTGTTTTTTATATACTGACGGAAACCTAATCGCCCTCTCCAGGGTATCATTGTCTCATCAATTACTACATATTTTCCGGGGTTTAATATATTCTGAAATTTGTCAGTGATCATTGAAAGCATATCTCTGATTTTATGTAGTTTGTCAGTTTTATCATCATTTGAGACATCACTGACATGCCAGCATTTTAATAGGAGTAAAAATCTGTCTCTTGTCATTGCTGAACGTATAAATTCGTTTCTGTATAATTTGTTCTTGCTCCAATACAAATTTATATGAGGTACTTTACATAAACCCATTGCCATCACAACTGCCAGAAATGTTTTCATTTCCTGAAAACTAGTATTAGTCCACTCTTTCATACGTGATTTACGTTTCATATTTTGTTGGTTTGTTCGTAAATAGTTTTGTGCATAATTGTTTGTCTCCAATGCCATTTTATTGATCATCTCATCTGTTACAAATAACTTATATACATCTTCAGGTGATTTTACAAACGGCGGTATATTGTAAGTATTTTCCCCAACAAATTCATGAAAATTTACGGGACTCTCCAATATGTCTTCCCACTCATCGTCATCGTTCTTGTTAGTTTGGCGTTCGGGCAATGCCTCTTCTGCGTCTAAAGTTTCGTTTTCTGTATCTTCATTTTCATCTTCTAATTCCTGTTCTTCGTCTATGCAAACCTCTAATGAATAATTATCAGATCCTTCCGAATCGCTTGAATTGTCATTAGAAGGACTATAATCCTTATCATTCCCGTTGTCACTAACATCTTCGATATTATTATAATTATTGGCATCAGGTGATTTTGAAATATCCTGTAAATTATCACGAGTTCTGTCTTCAGTTATCTCGTCATCGCTATTCAAATTTTCAATACTATCATAGTCTATTGAACCAGGCAATTTAAGTATAGTTGACAATTTATTACACCTGTTTTGTTGTTTTCGATCAACATCCTTCGAAACATTTTCAACAATCACAGAAACCTCTATTTCTCGTTTTTCTGCACATGTGGACAAATTAGAGTCGTCTGAAACTGCAAATTCAGACATATAGTTTTTACTTGATCTCTTTTGTTCCGGTGTTTGAAGTAGTTCCTTTAAATTTTCCTCATTAAGAGATAAATCGCAGTCTAGTAAATTGGAGCGTGAAATTTCTGATAAAGAACTAGCTCTGCTCTCAGAAACTATATGACGGAAGTCTAATGAAGGTGAACATAGAGATGACGAATTTTTGTTTTTTTTTTAATCTGATGTCTTGGGGTGGTTGGGGCACTAGAAGAGGGAAAGGTAACATTTTGTAAAACTTGACAGGTTTTTCCGGTACTTGGACTCAAATAAATTGTTTCTTTTTGTTCTATGGCTTCAACACGGTTCCTTACATCGTTATTTTTGGAATATCTAAGTCCCGTTTTTGCTTTGTTTTGTAATTTTCCTGTATTTGTAATAATGATTGAGGTTGCGTGTTTATTCATAATATGTTTTGGTTTTCGAATATCAGTCGGTTGAATTTCTTTACTTAAATTTACATCTTGTGGTGCTCTATATTCAATTGAATTTTTATTTTTTTCTATTTCAACAGTGTCAGATATCTTAAAACGTTTTATAGAAAAAATCTCTTCATCACTAGAATCTTCATTTTGCGGGGTATTACAACTTGGTGAGCTCTGAAAAACAATAGATACCTCTACCTTTAATAGTATTTTACAAATACAGGCCGCAGCTCGGGTGTGAATGGCTGTTTATTGAGTGTACCGATCAAAACGTGGCGTAAATGGAGTAATCATGTTCAGGATTTCAACGAATTATTTACCAAGCCAAAATAAATTTGCGGTCTGGCATTCAAAATACTTTTAATTAAAATTATCAATGAATAATATTTGAAAGCTCAAAATGGTAAGGGTAACTTTTTTATACGTTATTTATTCGTTTTGATTATAAAGTACCAAAATGTCGACAAAAACCCAATTTCAGTATGTTCAAAATAAATCACGGATATCAATTTTTATACGAAAACTATCATTTTGTTCGGTACAATTTTTATTAAGCTGCTAGCGAAAGGCTTCCGCAAAAGTTGTTTGTTAGCAGTAAATATTATTTTTTAATGGAGCATGCTATGTTCAGAGCTCATTGTATAATTATTGTTATTAAGTATTGCAGTTTTAAAGAAAAACGAATCAAGCATGCTAGTTGCAGGAGGTATCGCTTAATCATGAAGCATTGTATTTTTTTATTATACTCCAGGTTTTCAAATGTAACTGGTTTTTATAATATTTTGCTGTTGTTCATTCCACAAATGTCAATTTTACAAATATTACAAATTAGGTATATTAGTGATGTTAGTGTTAGTTAGTGTTAGTGTACTCTCGACACTAGGGTTTGCTGGGTCGATTGACCTGCGCTGCGACCCACTCGCTAAATAGAAGAAGTGTTAATGATTCGCGTCTTAAGCTTTTCACACAAAAACGCCAAAAAATATAGCTTAGTTAACTTAAAAGCACCACTCCAACTATTCAGTACGTACTCACAGATCCGTTAAATACCGTAATCCTTTATGCTAGATCGCTAAAAACAAAATAAAAATGTAGTTAATTCATAATAGCTGTCTGTGGATATAAAAAATCATAAAACTCACTTAAACACTTAATCAGAGAGGTTGACTAGTAGAACTACTTATTCCCACTAGCAAATCTGACGTATTAAAAAAAAGTCCTCGGAGTTTTGTGACAATTACCTTAAAAGGATATCAATTACCTACGTTTCCTGTATCAATCCTCCTATATACCTATATACCTACTGAACATTTTGAACAAGGACAGAAAGCGTGATTATAATATAATTCCTCACTATACAGATATACAGCTAGCCTATCGAGTCCCACTGCTGGGACTCCCTCCCTATACATAGTATACAATATTATACACAATATTTTAAAATTAACGTACTTATTTAGCTGAAATTTATTTATTAAATACATAATTATTTCATCTATATTATTATTATTTATTCGGAGTAGGTATATTTATAAATATTAATTAGTGACTGACCTGTTTTTGAAATATCATCAGCGATTTTGACTCAGATTCACCACCCGCTTTTTCTTCATCATCCTCTTTAATTAACTTTCTTCGGCAACGTTTCGACATAATCGACAGCAATTCTTCGTCGCGTGCGCAGCCTGGCATGCGTTGCACAACACTAACCGCGTGAAGCTAGCGTAGAGTGCGGTACGAGGTGCGCGGGGGTACGAGGTTTTCGGAACCTCTTACCGCACTGTGTTAGAATTTTATTTGTTCAGTGCGGCACGAGGTCTAAGAAACCCGGTATTAAATTAAGTATACCATAGAACTAGGAATCAATAGCACATCTCAGATATATAGTTATCTCTTTCCTATACTGAACCAGATGGAAGTTATGCCTCGCGCACGACAGAGAAGTTTAAGTTTTTCCTTACCGCTATAAAGACAAGACACGTACAGGGCGTTTCAAGCCCTGTTTCGCACTTAACGTGTTAAATGTTTTAAAGAGTTTTACTATAGTACAGATTAATTAATTAAATATATGAAACTACTAGATGGTGCCCGGCACGTTGCTGTCGCAGAAAAATAATTGTGGAAATATCGTTTTAAACTGGAAAGAGTTATATTGTTCAATTAGATAATGCCATTACATTAATTGAAATTGAATGATTTAAAACTTTAAAATAAATTTCTTGTTAAGATACATGCGCTACCTACAGTAAGTTAATTGTACTATGCAACTTATTGCTTACACCTGCACACAACTGCAAGCAATAAGTTGACAATATTTTACCGCAATCCGATGAACGGTATAGGAAGGCATAAAATAAATTTTTATATATTAGAAATCTAAATCTTTTTATCATATAAAATTATATCTAAATGCCTTTTATATAAAATATTTGCTCAAAGCATTAAGCACTCTCGAAGCCGTAGTATAAAATTTTAAGTAGCGTCACGGCTCGTATAGCCTAGAGCCTGTAATTACAACCGCACCATTAGCTTTGATATAAAGTTAACCTGAGCAGTAGCTTAAAACTTGCAAAGGTTCTGTTTAATTCCAGTTCTGCTTTTCTCATTTTATTAATGGTTAATTCATTTAAATAACTATTTTTTAAATAAAATAACTGTTAAAAGAAGGAGCACACAGTCCATGTGATGATAAGTGGATATTGTGGTCAATAGATATCTAACGGGTTTTTCAACAAGAACATTGTTTTTCAATTGGGGCAACACCAAAAACATGACAGTTTTGACATTTAGTTTTTTGACCTATTCGTAGTAGATGCTTTGGCAATTGCTACAATGAATTCAATTTTGCTCGGAAATCGCATTAAAATAATTAAAATCCACTATGAAAATGGTGGTTCTGTTAAAGTTACGTTTCGTAAAATTCGTGATATTTTCGGACAACATAATCGTCCTTCTGAGACCGCTATTAAGAATTTGGTCGCTAAATTTGAATCGACAGGCTCGGTACAAAATGCGCCAACACCAACGAGTGTTCGACCAGGTCGTTCAACCGAAAACATCGCAGCCGTGAGCCACAGTGTTGAAGAAGATCCAAATTTGTCAATTCCTCGACGTTCTCAATAATTGGGGTTATTCAAAACCACTACATGGCGAATTTTGCTTAAGGATTTGGCTTTGAAGCCTTACAAGGTTCAATTGGTGCAGGAATTGAAGCTGACCGACCATTTACATCACCGTAGATTCGCTCAATTCATTCAGGAACAGCCCGCTGGTTTTTCTGAAAAAATCATTTTTTCAGACGAAGGCAATTTTCACTTGTCAGGGTACGTCAACAAGCAAAATTGCCGCATTTGGTCTTCTGAAAATCCTAAAGCGATTATTGAGAAGCCTTTGCATGCTCAACGTGTCACTGTATGGTGCGCTATGTGGTCTGGAGGCGTGATTGGGCCGTTTTTATTCGAAGATGAGGCTGGAAATCCGGTAACGGTCAATGGATCACGCTATCGCGAGATGTTAACATTTCAATTTTGGCCTATTATTGATGACATCGATATCACAAATATGTGGTTTCAACAGGACGGTGCCACATGTCACACAGCCAACGAAACGATCAATTTATTGCAACCAAATTTCCCGATCGCATAATTTAACGAAATTCAGCTGTTAAATGGCCAGCCATATCGTGTGACTTAACACCACTGGATTAATTTTTGTGGGGCTATGTTAAGGACAGAGTCTATACGAAGCTAATCGAATCGATCGCGGCCTTAAAACTCAAAATCCGTGACGTGATTAACGAAATAAACCCGCCATTTTGCCAAAAAGTGATTAAAAACTTTGATGAAAGAATCGACATCTGTCAGCGTGGTCGTGGTGGACATTTGCCAGATATCATTTTTCATTCATAATTGCCAAACTTTTCTCTTCGTAATACAATAAAAATTTGAATCATCTTTATCTAAACTCTTTGTTTTATTTTGTTTTAGAAAACAAAGTTCTTGTTGAAAAACCCAGTACATACATCCAATCTTAATTAAGTATCAAATCCAGATGCGTTCTCTCTTCGCACCTCTAAGTGCTAAGTTGGAATGCCCTATTTCTAGTGAAAAGGGTCTTCTATATCAACACTCACCATACTAAATTCATTAAGCTGGTATTTCACGATGATATTCTGTGAGGACGTGTAATGGCGGTGTAAGAATATCCGCTACACCATATCGTTCCGTGGGTATCGTAAGAGGTGACAGAGGGAAATTGAAACAGGTGACGATCAGCAGCATCTTCCTGATTACAACTCAAAATAATAAAAATTGCGGTTGACAACCCGTTTGCCAGGCGTGTCAAGTATTGCAAAATCCCTCCTATGAGACAATCTATGGGGGAGGCCTGTATTCAACAGTGGACTTTTATAGGCTTGTAATAGATGGATGGATTCTGTGAGAGCTTGGTCCTACCCCATTCAACACGACGAGTCGTTATGCATGCAACCATAATAAACTGTAACAAAATCGACGTATTTGTGATGTGACATCTTATTGAATTTTAGTTTTGCTTTTCTGAATTTGATTGTTTGTTCATATAAATGTGTATCAAAAAAAATGTAAAGCTCCTTGTATTTTCGTGAAATTTTATCACCACGACAACAGTCACTTGTTATTATTTCGATGTATCCTATGAAAGTCCTTGGAAAAATATGTGATTTGGAGCTCGAGAATTGACACTGCACTTGCAAATTTTGTTAAACACTACGCAATTATTGCCGTCATAATCGACATATGAATGACATCGGCGTAGTTTAAATCTGTGATTATCATTAGCACTCGTCCTTTTTTTGTTACAACTACCTTTTAAAAATTAGATTCCTCTGTCCGAAGAAGAAACGGTGAAAGAAACTCCATAGGTATTCTCTTTTAAAAAAAAATTGTTATCCATTATTTTCCATACCGTCACACGACGCCGCCACAAACAAAAACCTTTAATCTAGCTTTATATATATTTTTAGACAGGAACACAGCAATACACGCACAGCTGCTTGGCGGTGGATTTGGTAAGAGAATGGTACCTACCTAGATGGACTTCTAGGCAAAAAAATGAGAAGTACCAACTAGTAAACTATGTTTTCTATTTTCTGTGGTAGCGTCACGCTGCAGCTATATTGTGGTTGCAGTACGAATAGGTCGTCTCGATCGGGGTAGGAACACGCTGTCATGTAATACCAGCGTAAAATAGCAGCTTAATGCTGTTGTGTTTCACATGCGTAGACAACCGAAAACCCTTTTTACTGGAAACGAGGCATTCTTAGTCGTCAAGGGTGACAACACATCTGCATTTTGATTCTTAATCGAAAATAAATGTATATTTCTATGAGCTACAGTATCCACTACAGGCACACACCATCAGGTGGACTGTGTGCTCGTTTATAACCCATATTCTATTTAAATAATGATAATTTTTGTCCTAGCCTCCATATAGTAAGAGGTAATCCTTCACTGCTTTTGGCGATTGTACCTCTTCGTCGTCAGTATGAAAATAGAATACCCGGTACTCTTTTTTCATACTAGAATACCTGGCATTCTATTTTTATACTAGAATACGCGGTATTTTATTTTCATACTGGCGTACATTCACTAGGTGGTTGGTGAAATTTAAAACTATAATTGAAACAGGCGTTACTTTGCGCAAAATCCATTAAAATGGGGTTGTTAAAACCTACAAGTGTAAAGTGTATTTGTAGGTCTTAACAACTCCCAACAAATACGGCCAACAGTGAAGGACCACGTTTCAGTTCCATAGGTCGTCACGGGCAGCAAGCACTGGTTGTACAGTCTAGTTTTTAAGTTGTGAGGTATACCTGACGATAATTTTCTAAACGTTGCCCAGCCGAGTTGAATCCGTCGATTGACCTCTGGGTCGAAGTTGGACTTACTTTGTCGGACTATTTGGCCCAGGTCAACATACTCGTCAACAACTTCGAGCTTGGTGTCCGCAACAACTACCGGCATAGGTGTGACATGGACGTTACACATGACTTTTGTTTTGTCCATGGTCATCTTAAGACCTATCCGTTGGGAGACACTATTAAGGTTATTGATTTCATTGAGGTCATTGAGGTCACTGAGGTTTGTAGTTAGAAATGTATATAAGGAAGCCGATAATAATTATATAAATGCATACTACAAGTATTCAAATAATCACAGCATATTCAAAGATAGTATCTCAGGAGATATGAGTTTGAAATATTTGTCGTTAATAATTAAAGTGCTGGAATTGTAAATATAAATATTATATAACCCTGTTGACAGCTCTGTTGAGCTAAAGACGTAGGGTTCGCAAAAGATACAAAGAGGCGATAAGACACGGCTTGTGCTCGTTGTTTCCTTTATTCCTTTTGTTTCGTATCTCTGACTCGAAGCGGTCTCTGAGTATTTTAGTAGTTGTGAAATTGTTTGTCACAATTAGTGTTTCAATTGTTAATTGTTGTCAACCTTTTGATTCCAATGGGTTATTCGAAAAAAAAATATTTAATGTTATGTGTTGCTTAATATGTAGTGTTACTTTAGATTTTATTCTAAATAAAGTAATAATTTTAGGCGTTTTGCAATTTTCCAAACGAGAACGTGCACAATATTATATAAAGTATTGAATGTAAATCATATAGATACCTGGTGATGGTACTGTCACAAATTGACCTTTAAACAAAATTTTATCTTTTTAAATAAATATTAATTGCTGTTCGTTAGTCTCGTTAAAACTTTAAACTGGCTCGATTGATTCTGCTGAATTTTTTTTTTATGTATGTGTGAGTGATGTTGTTGTCGAGATCCAGAAATCTCCCTTGCGACGATGTATTATTAATATAAATCACGTGATTTGTAATATAACCGGATTTATAGCTTTAGTAACGAAAAACAGCGTAGAGCCATGCTGCAGCTATATTAGTAGTATAGTTGTAGCACGAATGGGTCGATTTACACGCTCTCACAGAACACCAGCGTAAAATGGCAGTTGGACACTGCTGTGTTTTGTATGGTGAGTGTAGAGTACTGGAGACCCATTTTACTGGAAAGAAGGCATTCCATCTTAGTTTTCACGGGTGACGACCCATCTGCATTTTGATTCTTTATTGAGGATAAACGTAGATGACTATGGGTCACAGCAACCACTTACTTTCAGGTGGACTGTGTGCTCGTTTGTCACCCTATCTTATAAAAATACTATAATTATCCAGAAAGTAACTTTTAATTTAACGTTATAATAAAATTCCATTGTATTTATTGTAATTTAAAAAAGTGTACTTATGTAAAAATTCAGTCCGAAATATTATTGAAGTATGAATGCAGGACATACCTGCAATTTCCCTGGCGTTGCAGTTGTTCATGGACGGCGGTAGTCACTTACATTAGGTGAGCTGTATGCTCGATTGACCACTTTTATATTAAAAATACGACACCCTATATAAAAAAACGCGTAGGGCTAATTACACGGCGTCGCGGCACATGTACAGAAACCGTACCGTACAAAGACATTGAGGCGCATGTGTGCGTGAGCACTGGCGGCTCATCACGTACAGAGTGAAACTGCTTTAAACCGGCTCGGCCAGTGCTTAAACTCAACTCTATGTAAAGAATAATAAGTGTAAAATTTTATTTTTAAAGAATTATTCGTAGCAATAATATAATAAAATATTTTTAAATGTCAATAAGACATATTAATTTTCAATTAACGATGAGATTATTCTGGTATTGCTCATGGTCGCCTCTTACAACATTCACAGAACGAAATTAGGGCGTGTAGTGGCGGTTAAGAATATCTACTACCATATCTTTCTGTGGGTGTCGTAAGAGGCGACAGAGGGAAACAGGTAAGAGATAGGCAGACTTCCTGATAACAGAAATATTACAAAAAAAAACAACCCACTTGCCAAGCGTGGCAACTATGGCAAATATCCCCCATGCTGTAAGTTTCGAGGAGACGGCCCCCGGCCCCCGGTGGAACCGCTATTCCTGGCTACCATGGTGACAATGGTAAATGTAAAATGGATAATGGTGTTGACGAGGTCTGCGTACTTTAAACTCAGAATCACCGCACGGTATTCGTTGAAGGTCATACAGGTTTACCAACCTCGGCACATCCCCATGAACAGGTGGAGGAAATGTATGATGATATCTCTTAAGCCATGCATTCCATCAAAACCCACTATACGGTGTTAATGGGAGACTTCAATGCAAAACTAAGCATATAAGTGAACGGTGAGCTGAAGGTAGGGGGATTCGGAATAGGGCAACGGAACAAAAGGGCCCAGCAGCTGGTTGACTTAATGGATAAAGAAGGACTCTTTATGATGAACTTTTTCTTCAAGAAGCGGTCCCACAGGAAGTGGACCTGGTCAAGCCCCGACGATTCGACAACAAATGAGATTGAAATTAATATGACAACCAGACGACAACTTTTCAGTGATGTCTCAGTGATCGTAAGGGTGACAACTGGTAGCGATTACCGAATGATTAGAGGTACACTAAACCTAAACGTTAAGTTGGCGAAATCTCATATAATGAGGTCAAAG